CGATTTGCTTGGTCACTATGCACGCGTGGCTTTGCTTGTTTTCATGTCGTTCCGCACGGGACCCCTCTATTCCTGGACGCTGTCCCACGGCTGCCCCAGTGGCCACCCTGCCATGCCTCTCTTATCAGCTGGAGGTTCTCAGTCCCCAGGGAAGCCCGATACGGCCATTCCAGACATTCTTACACGACACTTCTCTTTTACAGGGCCTTGAACTTTGACGCTAGATCAAAGAATTCTTTTACAGGGAAGACCGTGTTCTGTAATTCACAGTGGAAACTTCCCCCATCAGGACCAATGGCTGACTCTGAACTTGGGGAGAGGGCGGAGGTGACTTCTCTTAGAGGCTCCTGGGATGCAGGTGTGTGTTTGGTGGGGCATTTTAAATACTATGAGTCTTTACCTAAGAGATTCTGCTCCCCTCCCTCCACTGGTGTTTAACCCAGCCACCTACCACCAAACCCTATGACTTTTAGGACAGTTTCCTCCATGACTTTTGGACAACCAGCTCCTATAAACAATGACAGGTCACAGTCACTTGAGCAAACATCTTACAGGGCCCGTAAAGAAGCACTAGGAACCTGGGTTGAGTAACGGGCCAGATTAGAATTTCAGAAGAAAAATTCTCTTAGGTTCTCTCAATTGCATGACATTTTAATTTTTAAAATGTAACTGAGGGCCCTGGCCAGGTAGCTCAGTTAGTTAGAGCAACCTCCTGATACACCAACTTTGTGGGTTCAGTCCCTGGTCAGGGCACATACAAGAATCAAACAATGAACGCATAAACAAGCAAAACAGCAAACTGACATCTCTCTCTTTCTCCCCCTCTCCCCCCCCCCTAAAAAAAGTCAATAATAAAAGCAGCGTAGTGCACGAGTCCCCTGGAAAAGCGGTGAGCTCACTTCAGGCCCCAGGCCTAGGCTATGACTGTGCTCCCTGAAAGCAGCCGTGTCCTTGGGAGCACGATGGCTCCTCTAGGCTTCAGCTGGACTAGGCAGTGCCAAGCCTTGTCTACTTCATCAGTTACTGAGCCATTAAACGTAGAGGAAACAGCAAACTACAGCGGGAATTTCAAATGATGCCTCTGATGATCCTTTCTCTAATTTTTTCTTGAATCGGAACATAAAATACTGTTTTCTTTCATCTTGAAACTTTTTTCCATGATTTAATCTTCTCAAGAACAAAGCTGTGGACACATATGGAGCTGTGTGCTCAGGAGCAGGCTAGGCCGGGAGACTGTGCCCTTGGTCCCTCTGTCGGATGGTGAGGAAGGAAAGGGACTTCCCTGGGAAGGGAAGAGTGGTTCCGCCCCGTAGCAGCATCAGAATCACACAGACTGCGTGGCTCCACCCCCAGAGTTGCCCATTCAGTAGATCTGGGGTGTGGTCTGGACAATCTGTATTTGTAACAAGTTCCTAAGCGATGTGGGAGCTGCTGGTCTAGGGAGTGCGCTTGGAGAACCACTGTCTAGAACAGTGGTCAGTCTCTCCGTGGATCCCATGACCTTCTGTTTCAGAGTCCAGAAGATTCTGCTCTCCACTGACAATCACCAGACGCACACACACGCACACATGCACACGTGCGCACACGCTCACACACAGGCATGCACATGCACCAGGAACATAGAACCTAGAGAATGGGGTAAATACACACAGCCACTCAGTTTCCCTTTTCTTTCTCTCTTCTCGGCTCAACCTGAAGAAAGTCTATTTCTCATACTTGGCCTGAAAGAACTGGTGCCTTTTGGGCGGTAGACCATCAGTTTTCAGCAGAATCCAATAGGGAAAGATCACAAACCAGAGTTCAGATGTAGTCTCCCTTCCCCTTCCTCTCCCTCTGGACTGGCTGGTATTTAACCAAATGTTTTCTGTTTACCATGAAATGCGTTATTAATGCGCATGATCTCCAGTAACCCTGAGACAATCCTAGTAGAAGGGTATTTATTCTTTTTACCCCCATTTTATAGATGAGGAAACCAAGATGGAGAGAGGCAAAGCCTCTTGCCTGAAGACGTTAAAAAAAGAAGAGCTCTGCCTCCAACCACACACCGCAGGAGCACCAAGCCCACCGTCCTCACTGTTTACGCTGGTGAACTGGCCTGTCCCCAGGGCTGACGTGGGACGAGTAAGGCGGCAGGCGTAGTGCCACAGAGAAAGGACGCGTTGTGACTGCGAGGTGTTGATTCGGGGGAGGGAGAGAGGTGCACGGGTTTGTTGCTCCACTTACTGATGCATCATTGTTTGCTTCTTGCATGCGCCCTGACCAGGGATCGAACCCTCAACCTTGGCGTATTGGGGTGACCCTCTAACCCACCCAGCTACTTGGCCAGGGCTCCTGTTTGAAACACATTGGAGGCCCCTCTCCTTTTCTGCACTAGATCAAGTGCCACATGCCGTAAACTTACCATTGCCTGCCTCCCTCTCTGCATGCCTTGTCTTTGAGAATTATTTTCATGTCCTTTCCCTCAAAATGTCACATATTCCTCTCCTCTGCTGACATTCGGTGGAACTACTTGAAAATAACTGTATTTTGAATGTGTGTCACCCCAGGCAGATGTGCCTGTGTCATCAGCGAGGAGAGGAAAGGTGGCTCATTTGTCAGTCCTGCCGCTGCTCGCGGCGGTCCCGCTGTCACCGCCTGTTGTGTGTATATCTGACAGGGTTGGACGCGCTCAGAGGGACTCGGGTACCTTAAGAGCCTGCCTAGAACTTTTTTATAAAACATTTTTCATCTCCACATGGACAGTGCAATCTCTGAGTTATAATTTCCCGTTTGAACACTTCCATCCCTCAGTATTCACCTTATTTATCCTGGCGCAAGGTCTTCCAAAACAGGATATGCTCCTGAAGTCTTATTTTAGCTGTGATATGGCAAATGCACAAGCGAGCTTTTCTGCCTTTTTTTTCTATGGAAGTCTTGGAATTTCCAGGGCTTGTGTTCTGAGCCAACACAAACACACGGAGATGGAGAGTGGGGGGTTTTGGAAATCAGTAGGTTTACTTCGCAACATTGCTTAGTGCAGACAGAGTTGCTGAGCAAGGCAGTGGGCGGTGAGTGTGGTTTGGAAACAGACAGCTGGTGTTTGTGACATGGGGAGATATAACAGCCCGTCCCTGATATCACCGCCATGGAAAGGGTGATGCCCACATTATCTCGAAGGCTTTCCCGGACAGCCCAGGTACAGGAAAAGCAGCAGGGCCTGGGCAGGCAGTGCGAGGACGGAGAGAACACTGAACACGGAATTAGGAAGTTTCACTTCTGGCCCCAGTTCTCCTATCGCCTCGCCGTTACCTCGCGGGCAGTGAACCTCCTGGACCCTCGGCTTCCTCCATCTCACGGAGGCAAAAATACTCGCCTTGTAGAGTCCTTGCGACTGTTAGGAGACTCACGTGAGACAAAATATTTTAAGAATTAAAAGAAAAATTATAAAGCACTTTACAAATGTGAGACATCCTTCTGGCACCTCTCAAAAATCCACTTAACCTCTGGGCACGTGACGTGTGCCCTGGGTGGGGCGGCGAGATCAACGGGGCATTCTGGCTTCTAGGGCACGTTGCTCGTATCACCGGTACTTGTGTGTATCCTCAGAAGTCTACCTGAGTATCTCTTTGGAGCAAGGTCAACAGAGAGTAATGATTTCCCCGTGGGATTTTGGGGAAGCTACTGAGCTCCTATTATTTCTGTTAAGACCACCTCCCTCCATTCTGCTCTCCCCAAGTTCAGTGAGCTCCTGCCCGTCATCGACTCACCACTACAGGTGGCATGTGAGGTGGACTCAGAGGGTGGTGCTAATTAGTTCTGACCCCAGACCCTCCTCTGAGAGACCTTGGGGTCTCTGAAGTCCATCTTTCCTTCTGCCCCTGATGAGTCCACACTTCTGGACTCACTGGCAACACCTCTCTGTAAATCCCTTATTATGAGTGTCCAAATAATGGAATTTAAGATGGGTCATCTACAAAATCTCCGATGGGCTCCACCTTCACCAAGCCTTCCCTTCCCCTTGCTGTTCCAGTGGGAGCCTGGCCTGCTTTGAAAGCTGGAGCCCTGTCCAATGGTGACCCCCACATGCCGCCGAGCCCCCTTCTTCTTGTGGCCAATTCCGAAACACTTCTCCTCTCTACTGCCGCCTGAGCCACCTTCTTCAGCCTCCTTACCTCCTGGTGACCCCACCTCCTCCATTCATGATTTTGACGCCTGCCTCGGTCCCTTCCCCTCACCGCTCCTGTCCTTACTCTTTGTTCCTTGGACTCCCTCGTGGGCCTAGCCTCGGATTTCCTGCACCTCCTCGTTTGTAGCAATCACGGTCTCTACCCAGCCGCCATCATTCCCTCTCCTAGTCAGTCTCTGAGCCTTGTCATCACCTGTCATACTCTAACCGGAATCTTGATATCAAGATTCCTACTTTCAGACCGACCTCTCCTTAATTTTTTTTGCCAGTTCACTCGCCCCCCTGCAAGCCACACTTAACAGGCCTGGACTCTTACTGGCCCTGCCCACCACGTGCCAGGCTCCCCCCGCCTCCTGTGCCCTTTTCCGCCATCGTCCTCACCGGCAAACTCACAGCTTCGGTGAGTCCAACAGCGCACGGGGCTGCCTGCCGGGGCTAAGCCTGGTTGGAGCAGGGCCGGCGAGGTTTTCGGGCGTGCGACTTGCTAAGGTGTGTGTTACACGCCATACTCTCAGGCCCTTAACGTTTTTTAAAAAAGACAGACTGAGAAAGGGGGAGAGGTGCAGCTCTGATAAAAACTCGCTGCGCTCCGTTCCCGCCCTGGCCTCCGCCCGGTCTGCTCTGCTTCCCGCCCCCTCCGCGCCACCTCTCCGCGGCGGGTCTGTTTGCTCTTCCTGTTTGTTTGTTTATTTAGTTACATTTTACTAGGATGCAAGCCCGTGAAAGCAGGGGTGCTGTTTGCTCCGTCACCACTGCATTCTCATGAACAGAACCCCGGTTCACTTGGGCGACGACGTATTCAGCTGCATACTGAACAGAATATTCAATCTCCTACCTTTTCAGTGGGATATAAGTGGAAGTCACATCCTGGAACTTCTTGGAAAGCTCTTTAAAAGGGGATAAACTCCACCGGCTTTGTCTCTTGCCCTTCACGGTCCCTTCGTCTTCCTGCCTGGAACACAGACGCAACTGCTGGAGATGGAGCAGCCATTTTAGGATCTTGAGGGTTAGGCACAGGCTCAGGGTGACAGAACCAGGGGCTAAATCCATCTCGGTAGCTGACCCAGCCCTGACCTGCATACCCGGGCACCCGCGTTAGTTATGCCCAGCACAAGACTTCGGTTATGTGGAGCCAGTGGAAGGGAGAGGGAAGAACTGACACGGTAGAATCCACTCCAGGCCTGTCACTTTCCCTACCCCATCTGATATCCCCTCCAAAAAAGAATGGTTCCTCCCCTCACCTGGGTGAGAATCACCATCCTAATGAGCCACTGTTACTACTGGGAATGTCGCTTCCCTCAGATGTGTTGGGTCTCTCAAGACAAAGCGTTAGGAAACTCTGCTTGAGGAGGGCCCGTGAAGAACTGACTGGGTGCGAGGAAGCTGTGGGAGAGCGGGGGCTGCCACAGGCTCAGTGGTTATTGAACGGGCTGAGAGAGTGTCCCTGAAGCATCTGGGTCCAGCCAGAGAAGCACCAGAAGATGCTTAGGACAAAGCTTGACCTCGATCACACTGTCAGGAGCTGTCACCCGACGCTGCGCGACCACTTCCAGTGACTGGGAGTTGATGAAGTCACTGGACGACTGGTTCCATTGCTGAAAAAATACAACCGGAAAGTGCTCGTTTAAGGTGAACCTGATATGGCTGCACCTTAATGCTGTTCTGTGCCAGTTATACAGGACTTTACGGACGTATCTAAAGAGATTTCACCTGATCACTGGATTGCAAACAGTTGTAAAAATTATGCACTTTTTTTTTTTGTATCTGCTAAGTGCAAAGTCACGCATTTGCTGCCGGCAAGGCCGAGGTGGAGGCAATAATGAAGGAGAACTGGTCCCAGCTGCAAACGGAACCGACGACGGCCCCAAGGGGAAGGCAGGCCTGCACGTGTGCAGCCCAAGGATGTGGCTGTTCCTATTTCTTTCTGATGGGCAAGTGTTTTGCAGAGGAGCTATGTGGGCGCAGGGCTGAGAGCCTTTCACACGGCCTTACGAACGTCACTGCGCTGGCCGGGGTGGGGGAGGAGGGAGACCGCAAAAATCATCATCCTGTGTGACAAAAACATGTTATTTTTCATGGTTTAGCTGTGTTTGTGCCACAATCTCACAGTCCTGGGAATCCACCACTTCAGGCGAATTCCATACATTCGCATTTGGGTCTGAAAAGATGTCCAGTTACCCAGCAACGGAACCAAAGAGTCCATGACTTTCTGAAATAAAAGAGGAAAAAAAGTTTTCTGTTGTTTTGACGGCATTCCTTTACTTTCCACTCAAGAACAGCATTTCAGAAAGCTGATGTCTGTGGTAAGAAAAACACACCAATTTCTATGAATAAAAAATATAAAACCAAGAAGGTATGCTACCTTCCTTTTAAAAAATGAACTCATCAAAAAGACAGACCTTTTTCCTTTGTCTTGTAAGAGGGGCTTTAGTCTGTTTTAGAACCGCAGATACGGCTTCTCCACGGGGAAGAATTCGTTCACACGACGTGGTGATTATTTGCTTCAAAAACTGGAGTACAATTTACTATTCTCTCTCCCCCCACCCCTTCCCCCTGGATTCAGAAAGTCTCATTCTGCAGTGAGCACGACCTTCTGTCTTTCTTGCAAAGACAGCCTTTTGGAGTGAGAATCAGGGCAAGCCTGGATTGTGCAGCCTTGGCAGCATCCCTTTTCTAGGGCAGAGAGAGTGTTTTCAGCCGCTATCAGCTGAAGGGGTTAACCCTGGACTTGGCTGTCAGTGACACTTTTTTTTCTGGCTGGGCTCCGGGTTTCCCCTTGAAGGGATTTCCCTCCGCCTCTGCTGCAGGACCCTTTATAAAGCGCAGACTTTCTGTTTCCCTCCCCACTGAGCCTCGCTGCTGCAGGAGCTGAAGGTTCTTCCCAGGACTTTTGGCTGGGACGGGAGGCAGGGTTGGGAGCCACTTTCTCATCCCGACAGCAGCTTCACGTGCCTAGGAAGATGGTGGGGATCTTCGGGGCCTCGAGTCTACTATGGATGGTGCTTGTGGCTTGTAAGTTTAACTCCTGACCCATTGCAAACGCTTGTGGTCCGTCTTAGCCCCGCTGTGGTCCGGTCAGTGTTGCAGAGGTGGTTGGAGAAGGGAGGTGCTAGGATTCCTGCACAGGGAAGGGACTTAATTTAACGCGACTTCCTATGTGCTCTTGGTGTTGCTATGCATCATGACATTATCACAGCTGGAACGGCAGCCTCATGTTCTTTGGATACTTTTTCCCCAATGTCAAATGAGCATTTGGATTCTGTCTCTGGTGAGGTCTATCTCTTTTGTTTCCTGTGCCTGATATGAGATCAAACTCAGCAAACAACAAACCGAGTCTGATAGATGGCCTTTGGGGCTGGGCCCCAGAGTCGCTGCGTGAAGGTCATTTTGACACCTTCTCTGGCAGCGACTCCCATGCTCTTTGGCTGCCTTGTAGTGAGTGGGAGCAGTTTAGGAGAGAGATGGGCCAGGTCACACTGCAGACAAAGGTGGAAGTGAGGAGGGAAGAGCACTGCACAAACCTGTGTCAGTTTGCCTTTCTCTCTCTGCCTTCACAGCTCAAGCTTTTAAAGTCGAGATCTCGCCCAAGTCCCCGGTGATGGCTCCCATCGGTGCCTCGGTCTCGCTGACCTGCAGCACGACAGGCTGCACATCGCCCTCCTTCTCCTGGAGAACCCAGATGGACAGTCCTCTGAACGGGAAGGTGAGGACCGAGGGCCCCACGTCCACGCTGACCATGGACCCTGTCAGCTTCAGGAACGAGCACTCCTACCTGTGCACGGCTGTGTGCGAGACCAGGAAGGTGGAGAGGAGCATCGAGGTGCACGTCTACTGTGAGTACTTGGCAGGATCTCCAAGGGTCTGCTTTCGAATAAGCTTCTAAAAGGGGCATTTTAAAAAGAAAAAAAACACTGTCCACGTCTAGGTTCTTGGCTAGAGGGCTTACTGCCCCCAGAGAGTTAGACAGCTGAGTCCAGCACCAGCCGGGACCCAAACCCTGACTTCCATTCCCAACTCAGCCACAGACGTGGGGACCGTGGGTGGGTGAGACTCACTGGCTCCTGCTTTGCTTTTGGAGCCATGAAATGAACATCTCTAAGGTTCTTTTTGCTTTATTTTCTAAAACTTCCTATTGGATTAGATCCTTACATGTTCACTGGGCCAGGCGTCTACATGATTTCTGAATCCCGTCCTTCGGGGAGTTTCCGTTTCTTCAGTCTTATGCAATGGGGTGCTCAGAATTGGTTTAGGCAGAGATCCATAATTTAGTCACAGGCTTCTGCATAAGAGTTTCCCCTTGGACACAGAAAAACACTGGTATGTCCGTTGCTCATTGGATGCTGGTGTAGATCAGTTTGAGTTCGTGTTGTTGTTTTTTGGTGTCATTAATCCTTAATGCTCAGCTGCTCAGCCTCCAGGGCATTTGCATAATGAATTGGATTTGCCTTGTGAGTGTGAATGAAAGCCCCTCGTTTAGCATTCCACCAAGATACAGCCCAGTCTATTCTCAATCCAGCAGAGTTAGCAGGAGACGTGAAAAACTAATCCAGAATAAATCACTGGCCTTGCTTACTGAGGAGCCCTTTAAAAGACACACACACACACACACACACACATATACACACCCACACACTGCAGTGCTTCGCTGCCTCTTCACGAAGGCCTCATTTGATTGCTCTATAATTACACTGCTTCCCTTCTGCCCTGGTGGAGCTCAGCTCTGTGCGGAAACTCGAACTGGCTCTTCACCAAGTCCCATGTGTGGCTGATTCTTCCCAGGACACGGTGCCTGGCGGCTGCTGCTTTCCATTTACCGGGGGGCCGTGCAGGCACTGTTTCTGTGTGCGCAGCCTCCTGAGCCTCCTGAAAGGCCCCCTTATGTAAATACAGGGAAAAGTAGCCAGTTCTTCTGTTACCTGACAACACACTCTGTGGGTCACAGGCACAGTTCTTATAGAATCAGAGGGACAGAGATTGTTGATGAAAAAGTCTGTGTTTCTTTCAAAGATTTCTAGTCCTTTTGCCTTTGTTCACTGGTCCTGAATTGCTGAGGATTTAAAGAAGGGAAAGGAAGGCCTTCTGGCTTTCATTATCTTGCCTGGAGTTTTTCTTTAAGTGTGTCTGTCTCTCATTATGTCAAACAGTCCTGCCTTCATTCCACACTTGGTTTTAAGAGTCTTTAGAGTCGAGACCTTTGTATTCTTGTGACAGGTTCTCGAAACGGCTGAGGGGTCAGCATCGTGAAGGTCTATAGTGGAAAGGAAGCCCTTTGCAACAAGGCCGAAGCTGACTGAGACGGTGCCTGCCCTTGGCCCTGAGGGGTTCACATGCAGTACTGGTTAGGACCCTGAGTTAGGCGTTTTGGGGGGCAGATCTGCCTTCCAGACTTTAAAGATTGTACAGGCATCCATTTCAGGTGGCTTAGTCCCTGTGAGAGGCGCCCTTTCCAGAAGCCAATCATTTAATGCAGCTCTCTTCGTTTCTTGGCACATCTCCCCCAGTCGCTGTTCTTTGCAATGGCATGCTGAGCTTCCAGTTCCTTATCTGTAGAATGGGAACATGTCTGCCCTGACTAAAATGAGAGAATGTGATATGACATAATATAACTCTGCAGCGACTATGCAGAATAACAGAAATCCTGAGTTTAAGTTCCAGACTCCACATTTACTAGTGGTGTGACTTCGGGTTAGTTATGCAAATGCACCAAGTCTGTGTTTTTGTATCTGTGAAGTGTGGTCTCTATCTCTTAGGGTTATTGTGAGGGTAAAATAAAATCATTTATGTTGCCCTGGCCGGTGTGGCTCAGTTGGTTGGGCATCGACCAGTGCACTAGGAGGTTGCCAGTTGGATTCCCAGTCAGGGCACATGCCCAGGTTGCCGGGTAGGGGGAATTGCAGGAGGCAGCCAACTGATGTTTCTCTCGTATGGATGTTTCCCCCTCTCTCTCCCTCTCCCTTCCTCTCTCTCTAAGTCAATAAAAACATTAAAAAAAATTATTTATGTTAAATGAATGGCACAGTGATAGGCACATATAAATATTTAGTAAACATTAATTTCTTCTCCCTTCTTTTACTCCAATACCATGCAAGCCTTAGTACCTGCAGCATCAGAACTGAAGAGCTGGCCAACAGGTGACTGATTCTCATTTGTGAACCTATCTGATCATGAAAGGCAATTTAAATGAGGCCACACTAATGGAAACTTTAGATTCGTTGGCATGGCATTAAATCCCTAGGGGACCTGACACAACACGAGCGAGGAGCCCACTCATGTGTGTTCATTGACCTTTGCAGCTTTCCCCAAGGACCCGGAGATTCATCTCAGTGGCCCTCTGCAGGTTGGACGGCCGGTCACAGCCACCTGTCTGGTCCCTGATGTTTACCCATTCGACAGGCTGGTGATTGATTTGCTGAAAGACAAACATCTCTTGAGAAATCAGGAGTTTCGGGAGCTTCCGGAGAGCAAGTCCCCGGAAACCATGCGTTTGGAAGCGACCTTCACTCCGACCCGGGAGGATATTGGGAAAGCTCTTGTTTGCCGAGCGGCGTTACACATTGATGAAATCGATGCAGAGCTCCGAGAAAGGGATACCACAAAGGAGCTGCAAGTGGACAGTAAGTGCGCTGTGACGTGGCCTGGTCTCTGTGGGAGTTTAGTTGTGGGTATAAGGCAGTACCCTCAGCAGCTCAAGTCAAGAAGAACCTTGTTTTACTCCATTTTTATTCACTGAGAACATATTTGTCGACAACGTGCTTTGAAGAAAAGAGCACTGGGTGTGGGTTAACAAGACTTGAGTGTGGGTTCTGGCTCCATTAACCGTGTGAACCTGGGTTGCTTAACTTCTCTATTTCCCAGTCGACCAAGGGGAAGTAAAAATACCACCCGATGGGTCGTAGGAAATGGGTTCAAATGGTACAATTTTTAATTGTGTTTGTAAACTCCTATACCATGCCCTGAAATATCACGGTATAGAGCCCTTACGAGGTGAGTGCTGTTTCTGTGTGTGTACGTGTGAGCACTGGGTGGGGGAGTCAGATGAGCTTTGGGTGCCCCACACTCCCGGAGACGCCGGGGGTTTGAGGCAGTCTCATAGTCCCCGGATGGTGTAGGAGTTGCCTTGCTGTGCTGGACTAAAGTACTGCATTCTGCTCTGGGCACCACACTGAAAAGAAGTGTTGCCAACTACAGCATGTTTGAAAGAGAAGAGATGGAAAGGCTTTTATCAATATCTTGAGCAGTCGGGATGGGATATTTTCCTAGAGAATACGGAACTTAGAAAAGGGAGCTGTCATTAAGTACCTGAAAGACGGTGATGTAGGAAAAGGGTCTGACTGATTCTGTAACAGCAGAGGACTGAGCTACGACCAACATGTAATAGTTACGAAGGGGAAGGTTTCAGCTCAATGAGGGGGAAATGTTCTAATACTTAGAGCTGTTCCCAAAATCAAATGGGCTGTTTTGTAAGGTGGTGGAATGCCTCATGCAAGGAGTGTTAAAGGCGACTTAGATGACCACCTGGCCAGGGTGCTGAGATGGGACTCCGACCCTACCTGGGAAACTGAATCGTATTAAGGGTCTTTCTTAATTTCTGCGTATCTATGGCTATCTGAAAACTCCAACCAACAACAACAAAAAAATTAACTCAAACAAATGAGTCAGAAGCCAGACTGACTAATTTCTGGGGCTCCATGATTCCTTATATTAGCCTGACACAGTAAGTGTGTCAAGTTTATGGGCGCAGAGACATACAGCCTGTGAGAGAAACACGTGACCCCTGCTGGGTCGGAACAGGGTTAGCACTTGCTGACACTGTGCCCTGTCCTTCCAGTCCCCCCCAGGAACATCGCCACCTCTGTGAGTCCCTCCACGAGGCTGCGAGAGGGCGGCTCCGTGACAATGACGTGTACCAGTGAAGGCCTGCCGGCCCCACAAATTTTCTGGAGCAAGAAATTAGATAGTGGGGAGCTGCAGCACCTTTCTGGAAACTCAACGCTCACGCTGGTTGCCATGAGGATGGAAGATTCTGGAACCTATGTGTGTTCAGGAGTGAATCGGGCTGGGGAAGACAAAAAGGAGGTGGAATTAATTGTCCAAGGTAAGTAGAATGTGACAAAGTGAGGGGGAGATGCTGTCGTTGGGACCTGAGCACTGCGAAGTGGCTTCGATGCCTGAATTACGTCCTTGGGTCCTACTGATGACCCATCTCGTCACCACATACTTCAGCTCAGTTACGGACTCGTCTTACTCACACTTGTAATAGCTGAGTGCCTGCCACACAGTAGGTGCTCAGGAAACGCAGGATGAGAACATTGTAAATGTGGGCGGCTCACATTTTTCACACGTGAGGTTTAAACTTGGATGGTTAGAAAAACAAAAGTCAATCTCCTCATCAGGAGGTGAACTCAGCTGGGTGTTCAGTTAGCATTATCTGGAGACCAGGAAAGAGATGACACAGACAAGAGCACACACAGCTCATCCCAGAAAACCACCCCGTAAGAAGCGGTGTTTCGTTTCAGGGAGAGGGAGACCAGCTGGGTGAGGAAGGGCGGTTCTGTGCATCGCGGGATTCTAGCAGCCCGAGCCCTGAAGGGAGAACTGAACTCTCCATGGACCTTGCAGTGACCTGATAGGTTCTCCCGCAGGAGACACAGATTCACGGGGTACGAGACCTGAGACGTGCTCACAGGCAGGAAGCGGCTCAGTGGTAAAGCCCCCCTCCTCACAGCAGCGTGAGGAATTCAGAAACTCTGGGCTTGTTCTGAAGGGCCTGTCCCTTTCAGGATCTCAGAGCCTGTGGGTCTGTTGAGGTAATCTGAGGAGAACCTTCTTTGGAAGGTACTAGTGTCACAACTAGACCAACAACACTAAGAAAAAGAACTTCTTCTGGCACAGACGAGAACCCTGCATAGTGTGGTGGATCTGGATTATTTATCTGTTGAGGTTTCTCTCTTCCACCCCCAGCCTGCTCTTCACAAGGACTGTTCTAGTGGCTTTCTGTGGAGTATCATCTGTCACTTTGGGAGTTGCCCAACACTTCCAGTTTCTTCAGGGAAACAGGATGGAGATTTCAAATTCCCTTTCTCCCCAGACGGCAGCATGGGTGCCCAGTGGGAATGATAACACTGGCAGCCAAGAGCTTTCCTGGATATTGGAGTCTTGGGAGTTTGCCCTCCCATCCCAGTTTCCAGCCCCTGAATTAACTCTATTTTTATTTTGCATCAAACTAAGTTTAGAGGTGGCTCATATGCCACTTAAATGCTTAGCCTTTGACTCTGCTTTCCGTGTGACTTTCAGTGGTATAGCTTTATACTGTTGGGACAGAAGCTCTGAGCGGTGGCCCATTATGGGCACTGTATCCAATTAGAAGGCATATTTTTGTAGCTTTGTAGCTTTTTTCAGTGCCTCTCTTAGGCCTTGCGTTATCTCCACACAAGGGTGACTGGATTGAGTTGTCCAAGCAGCTGAAAGCTGGGATCTTGAAGCTGGCCTGGTTTCAAGCCTTAATTTTGCCACTTGTAAGTTGGATAAAGTCCTTCAGCATTTCCGAGCCTCAATTTCTCTGAGAAGGTGGTGGTGTTTGTGGTGGGATCAACAGCGAGGGTTTCTGAGGTTGCTGCAAGGACTACATGAGACAATCCATGTAACGGCTTACACGGCACTGAAGACGCTGGCACCTCTCACACAGTGTGAGCTGTTGTCCAGCGTCGCAGGGGTTTGCGCAGAAACTGAACTATTGCTATGAAACAGGCCCCTCGAGAAACAGGCCCCTCTGGGGGTCTTGACACATTTTTACCCACATTCATTGTGCTCAGGGAAGGAACCAATGGAGCGCTGTGGGCTCATTCTCACGGGACATGGTCTCATTCCTGATGGCCCCAATGTGCAAAGGACTGACTTTTTCTTGGCACAGATGTTCGCTTAAAGGAAACCAGAAAAAAACAAAACCACAAAGACCATACATCGGAATGTGGTGAGAGGAGAACAATCCTACCTTCCTTTTGTCTTGTTTTTTCCTCCCCAGAAAAGCCGTTCAGTGTTGAGATCTCGCCGGGGCCCCAGGTGGCTGCGCGGGTCGGGGACTCGGTGGTGCTGAGGTGCGCTGCCGCCGGCTGCGAGGCCCCGTCTTTCTCGTGGCGAACCCAGATCGACAGCCCTCTGAGCGGGACGGTGAGCAGCGAGGGGGCCACGTCCACACTGACGCTGAGCCCTGTGGGTTTCGAGAACGAACATTCTTACCTGTGCACTGTGACCTGTGGACGTAAGAAGCTGGAGAAGAGAATAAAGGTGGAGCTCTACTGTAAGTGGCGGCAGAACCGTTTACTGTTGTTTTCAGTCCCTTGGGAGAAATGTAACACGAGTCCGTGATGGACAATGAGATCCGTGGGTTTAGAAAGGGAAGTTAGCACCGGGAATGGTTCCCGACTCTCCGACCCAGAACTTCCGCTGCAGCCTCATCGGCCTAAATCTTAAGTACACGTTACATACGTGCACAGCATGGGCAGTCCTTCTGTCTCGTCTGCCTCAGGCACGGGAACACGCCATGTGCTCGCCGCTTCCCATCCTCTCTCTGTGTCCGGTGTGTCTGAGGTGAGAGTGAGCAAGGAGTGGGGGTCAGTGCCATTCAGGTCCCTGCGGGGGGATGAGGCTGCCCGACGTGAGAACTGGGGGTGAGCCCCGAGCCTCCCGTTTGGAAGGCGTATTTGGAAAGCTGATGGGCGGGATGGGGAAAGTGAGGCAACAGGGAGCAGGAGAAAGCCGGGAACACAGGCCGGGAGGTCGAGAGGGCAGAGGGCACAGCCAGGGGCAGGGGCAGGGGCCAGGCAGAAGCAGGGGGAGCGCCAGGTGGGGACAGTGGCTGAACTACGCACACACCCTGCGCTTTTTCCTGCTGTGCTTGTCACCTGAGAGCCCTTCACAGCCTCCGATCTCATGAATTTGACATTGCTGGAGCTCCCGAGTTTAACGAATGAGGGATACAATAGGCAAAGTAACCACAGCGTGAGCTCGTCGGGAGGGCTACTCTGCCTTGTCTAATTCAGCTCAATTCAAGGGGACATACTGTAGAGATTTTCCACCAGACAACCCACCCAAACTTGTGTCCCCCTCGGGATTTGTTAGAAAGGAGTTAGAGTCTGTCTGTAAAGGGATCTGAATCTCTCAAAAGAAGGGTGAGTTTTATTGTGTTATCAAATTACCCAGAGCCCAGGGTCTGCGGATGTGGGCGCATTTCCAACAGCAATGAGAGCCAGCAGCGCCTCACTGCCATGTGGAAACAGTTGAGGATGTATCACTTTAACAACATTTACTTAACGGGAAACATTGTAGCATTGCTCTTACTCTGGGTAACTATTTTAGTCTAGTGTTTATTGATTTGCATAGATGTAGTATAAATACTATTTAGAACTGAAATCTCTTAGCTTTTTTTCTTAACTGCAACTATTGTCTGAGAAAGATTTAAACTTTGCTGCCTAAACTTGGCCACTGGACACTGAAGGGTCTAAGTTGAGAGCTGCCCTGTGGGTCTTCACCGATACCGAGCGCCTGCGCGGCTCTGTGAGGCCAAGTTTGAGCTCTGAGGTCAGAGGAATACGCATCTGACCTCAACTCAGCGACTTCCTGGACACGGCTGGTGCCTAGTGAAAGTCTCTTAGCCTCTCTAAGACTTGTACATTTTCCTAGCTATAAAGTAAGTGCTCTATGGGTTTTCCTAGCTGTAAGAAAGTTAAATAACACCCATTTCATCAGGCTGTTTTAAAGACTGAGATACAGTAAGGGACTAGCATGTAGTAAATATTCAATATATCATGGTAAATATTTGAAACATTTAAAACATAGAGTTACCAAATAAGATGGTGGAAGCTCACGGGTCCTCGGAAGAGTCAACCTATGGCTCTCAGCAGGACTGCATCACTAATAAGAAAAAAATAAGTATATTTATTACTCGACTGCCTCATTTACTGTTGTTCATTCCAGCATTATATATATTTAATATCACAAATATTTACACTTAATGTCATTATATATTGGTGGTCACTCTATCCCAAGGGATTTGAAACTCATTGGAGATCTTTGATTTTAATAGAGATTAGTTCTGTTTTTCCATTGAACGTCACCTATGAGCATCATTTTTGCTTGATGTCTGCAGCGTTCCCCAGGGACCCAGAGATTGAGATGAGTGGTGTACTGGTGAGTGGGAGCCCGGTCACAGCAAGCTGCACAGTTCCTGACGTGTACCCTCTCGACCAGCTGGAGATCCAACTCCTGAAGGGGGAGCATATCATGAAGAGTAAAAACTTTTTGGAGTCTAAGAAATCCCTAGAGACCGGGAGTTTGGAAGTGACCTTCATCCCCACCACTGAAGATACTGGCAAAGCTCTTGTTTGTCAGGCTAAGTTATATATTGATGAACAGGAATTTGGACCCAAAGAACGGCAGAGTACACAGGAGCTCTATGTTAACAGTAAGTGCGACGTATCCACAGTTTAATAGGGATTTCTTTAGTCACATTTGCCAGGCAATAGTTAGCACAAGGTTAAGAGTTAAAACTTCTGTGAAAAAAACACACAAAACTAAAAGAAATGGAAAATAATGATTATTATAACAACCCAACCCTAACACTTAATAACTCTTTATGAGCCTATAACTATGAGTTGGCAGTTTTGGAAGGGCCGTATGAGCAGTTGCCTGCTCAGTACGGTAGGAGATGAACTCACTCATGCCGTCAGTTGGCAGGTCAGTGTGGGGGGGGGTTGGCCCCAGATGGCCTCACTTACATGTCTGGGGCCTTCCCTGGGATGTCCGGGCCTCCCTTGCTCCACGCGCTGTCTCACTCTCAAGAAAGGCACCCTAGGTTTAGTCGCCAGAGTGCAGTGTTTCAAGAGAGTGATAATCCTCGGGCTTGGAAGTCCTACAATGTTACTTCTTCCATGTTACTTTGGTCAAAGTAAGTTACCGGGAAGCCTGGATTCAAGGGGTGGAAGGATAGACTCTACCTTTTCACAGGAAATTCCTGTGAAAAGGTAGAGTCTATGAAATTATGTTTGAAATTCCACAAACATAATTTGTGGTCATGTTTAATGTACCATAAATGTCGATATATGTTATCATTGATCATCCACTGTTTGGTAGCAGGAGTTCCTACAGAACTTATTTCCATTAGAAAATACCCATTATGTGTCCATTTTTTCTGTCTACAATTCTGTATCTGCTAAAGTAAAGGGGGACTGAAACCCTCTTTGGTAAAGTTATCAAGGTTTATAAACTGTTCTAATCCATTGATTGCACAGCCCAGTTTGGCAACATTTTTAAAACTCCTTGGAACTCAGGGCATAAGGGGTCAAGCTAACAACTGTTCCTACCTTTTCAGCTGCCCCCATGAATATAACCATCCTGGTCAGCCCCTCCTCCATCCTGGAGGAAGGTCGTTCTGTGACTATGACGTGCTCTAGTGACAGCCTCCCAGCTCCGAAGTTCCGGTGGAGCAGGCAACTTGGGAATGGGCAGCTACAGTTTTTTTCTGAGAATACAACTATCACCTTAACTTCTACAAGAAGGGAAGATTCTGGTATTTATGTATGTGAAGGGAGCAGCCAGACTGCGATAAGCAAAACAGAAGTTGAATTAATTATCCAAGGTGAGCAGTGCGTGATTAATGAGTTATTGCTACTATTATTTTGGTTGTGTCACTGGTTTTGAACAAAGTCCTCTTCAAAGAAATTTTTTTATTTTTAAATTAGAGTTGATGCACAATATCAGTTTCAGGTGTATAACCCCATGAATAGACATTTATATAACTTATAAAGTGATCAGCCCGATAAATTTAGTACCCATCTGACATCATATATAGTTATAATATTATTGACTATATCCCCCTGCTGTACTTTACAGCCCCATGACTATTCTGTAACTACCAATTTGTACTTCTAAATCCCTTCACCTTTTTCACCTATCCCCCACCCCTCTCCCATCTGGCAACTGTCAAAATATTCTCTGTATCTATGAGTCTGTTTCTGTTCTGCTTGTTCATTTATTTATTTATTTTTATTTTTTAGACTCCACATATAAGTGAAATAATCTGGTATTTGTCTTTCTCTGTCTGATTTATTTCACTCAGCACAGTACCCTGTAGGTCCATGCATGTTGTTGCAGATGGTGAGATTTCATTCTGTGGTGATAAGCTTTTTCTTGTCTGGGAAGCTCTTTTTCTGTTCTTCGATTCTAAATGGTAGCTTTGCTGGGTAGAGTAGTATTGGTTGTAGGTCCTTGCTTTTCCCATCGCTTTGAATATTTTGTGCCAATCCCTCCTGGCCTAAAAAGTTTCTGTTGAAAATCAGCTGACAGCCTTATGGGAGCTCCCTGATAGGTAAGTAACTGGTAAGAATCCAAAAATATGAGCATAAGGAGCTTCTGGGACAAGTTCAAGTGTACCAATGTTTGCATCATAGGGGTGAAAGGAGAAGAGAAAGAGCAAGAAATTGAAAATCTATTTGAAAAGGAAATAGACATGGAAGTCCAGAAAGTGCAGAGAGTCCCAAACAAGATGAACCAAAGTCCTCTTTGAAAACAAAATTTTTACTAAACAAATGCACTGAGGGTTTTGAAGAGCAAGCTTGGGATGTTTCCTATGCAAGGAAAGTGCCTGGAATAGTACTTTCTCATGAACCACGCCAAGTCTCTTATCCTAAAACTCTTTAAACCTCAAGTGGACAGCTAGCTCCAGGAACCACGCCAGGAGTACCAGTTACACTTATGAGGCAATGATTATGGTTTTGAAACAAGAATAAGAAGACGTATATGTGTATTTAAAAAATACTTAGGATTAAAGCCACCCTCTCTGGCTGAATTGGATGCTCAGTGGTAATCTTGCAAGGTGCCTGCTAGTATTTGCTTAGAAGCCTAAGGGGCACTTAAACCTTTTGTAAATGCTGAGGCTAACAGTCGCAGTGACTGTGTCCTCTGGTTTGGTTTGGTGGCATAAAGACACTAGAGCGGATTAAGCTATCAGATCCAGAGCCTCTCTCCAGGATGGAGAGCCAAAACTGAGAACAAAACAATTCCTAGTTGACAGGTTGGCATTTTGGAGTTTTCCCTCCATACTTTCGTTTTTGGTGTTGAAGGCTCTTTTTCACATTGGAATTCTAAAGCTGTTTATTAAGCACCCATCTTTTGGCTAGGCTGGGTAAAGGATTATATTAAGGGACATGCGAGAAGCATGAGAAATGTCTTCTCTTATTAAAAACGTGATCATTTACAACCAACCAGTCAATGCTTGATATCTTTACTCGCCCCTCTAAACATTCAGTGTAAACAGTAACCACAAATGGCTCCTTGATAGCTCCTGTTGCTGTTATGTTAATGAGGAACTGGTTTATATTTCACCCAATCAGAGGTGCCTCTCAAATTCTCTTTCCAGTGGCTCCAAAAGACATACAACTTACAGCTTCTCCTTCGGAGAGTGTCAAGGAAGGAGACACTGTGACTATCTCCTGTACATGTGAAAACGTTCCCCAAACCTGGATCATCCTGAAGAAAAAAGCCGAGACGGGAGACACCGTGCTCAAGTCCATAGAAGGCGAATACACCATCCAGAGGGCCCAGTTAGAGGACGCGGGCGTGTACGAATGTGAATCTAAACACGAGCTTGGCTTGCAGTCCCGAAGCATCACACTTGATGTAAAAGGTTAGACTTTTGTTTTTGTTTCTGGTTTTCAAACTTTTTAATGATAGGTCAGGAGAATTTTGGTGGACTGTAAAGGATTTCTAGGGTGAGATGAATGAGTTGGCAAAAAACAGAGCTGAGTTCCGTGCTGATTGTGCTTATTTCTTAATATTTCCTAAAATAGTAATGCACAGCTGCTCCAGCCTATGGAATGGGGCCAGGGGCTGACAGGAATCCTTGGTGAGCGCAGAGCTCCCATCTGCTTTTCTCAAAGTTAACAATTCATCATTGGTCTCTGAGGTCTTGTAGCTCCTGAGTGTTTCAACATATTTTTGAAACCTTTCCCTGGGGACTACGAGAAAGCGAAAGAAGATTGATAGATGGGAAAAGATCCATTTCCTTCCTAAAGGAAGAGAAGTCGATTCTCTGAACATTGAGTAACTGCGCATTTTCTGGATCAACTCTTTTCAGGATAATAATAGGGAGTGGCCATCCGGATGCAGAACAATGTATATGAACCTCTAGCTATAGAACTGCCTCCTTAGACATCCCAGCCCCTTGCCCATTCTGCCCTATTCTGAAGGAGAGAGGGGGCAAGAGGGCACTGGTCTCAGCAGAGAAACTTCAGGGGCCCCTTAATCTTCTAACCCCTCTGTGAACACCCAACAGTAAGACCTGTTGGTCTTACTGGTGAAAGAATTTGCCAGCCTTTCCCCATCAGTCCTCCGGGCCTGTGTGTGTTAAGGAGCTCCAGCTGTGGACTGGAAGCCAAGCTTGGAGCGAAGGGGCTTCGAACAAATGCAAACCCTCTTAAGAGCCCCGGGCCCTTGGCTGTCAGAGTTAGCAACTGCTTGCCAATTAAAGGGAATGTGAACCTAGGTTAGCAAACAGGCCAACTTTCACTCACCTGGCCCAAATTTTCAAGACTGCTGGCCTTTACCTTATGTTTTCTGTCTTTGCAGTACCTCCTCGCAACACAACAGTATCAATACATCCATCTAGGCATGTTAAAGAAGGGGACAATGTCACGATCACATGTAAAACCTTTAGTCATCCGCCTGCAGTGATTGTCCTGAAAAGAGTCGGTCTGGCCAATGGAATTACTATATGTTCAAAGAATGGAACATTCACCCTGTACCGGGTCACTCAGGGTGACGCCGGGGTGTATGTGATCAGAGCCTCCAATGAGGTTGGGGATGAGTCTGGATGGATTGAGATCTCAGTTATGAGTAGGTTGAAATGCATGGTTCCTCTTACCTTTCACCCTGACGCCCCCAGGCCACCTCCAAGCCTAGCCCCAGGAAATCGGACTCCTAACATTTTTGTAATTCTGTTTATGGTTAACAATTCTCTTTAAAGACAAGTCAAAGCTTCTCCACTCTCTAACTCTTCCTCACACATGGCCGTCTTTTCTAATTGCTTTATGAAATTAGTAACTTAGATATTTGCCATTCTCGCTTATTACTGAAGTGGACGATGGAAGCGTATTGGGCACTCAGCTAGGGATTCAGGCTCCCGGACTAGATATGGTTTAAAATAATGACAAATCAATGGAGACTAGAATCTGATACTTTCCCTGGATATTGTGAACTACTTTCCCCTTGTATTTAGCTGAAGTTGAAAATTAACTTTGTTTTATGTTGGCTTGAATGAATTCCAGTGATAGAAAAAGTTGGAGCCTTTAGGATTTTCAGTGTTTATACAGCTAATAGAAAATCGTATTAGAATGTTGCTCTGGGAACCGACTCAGCAGCAAATTTGTGTTTTACTGCAGATGCCTGAGGGGGAAACTGAGGGAAAAAGATAATTTATTAAATTTAAAAGAAAACAATAGGAATAGAAATACTGCTGTCCACGTGTCATCGACATTGATGCCCAACCACAACTGTGGTCATGGACATCCCATTAAAACATGACCTTTCTACTCAGACTAGATAGACTCTAAAAAAAAAATAAAAAATGAGGCAATTATTATGTTTAGGGTGAAGGGTTTTTAACCTTAATAATTTGAAAAATTATTAAGACCCTTGGGATTCTTATCTACTTGGGTGACCCCAGTGATTAGAATCCTCTAGAGGGAATGTAGTGATCACCAAAATCAGATCACTCATTCTTCTGGGACCAAGACAACACACATGCCACCTGTGAGGTCACACGGTGCTGTGGAGACCTAAGTACAGACAGAGCTGTGTATCTAGTAAGGGCCTCACTCTCTTCTGTAGAGGTTCTTGTGAGGCTAAGATATCATTGCAGCTGTCAGATCATTTTTAGTAGATTAGAAAGAGCGCTAATTTTCATTTTGTGCATTACCTTCTGTACCCAACCTGCAACTAAATGACAAAATGACAGGATGCAGAAAAAAGGAAGTATTACTATTAAAAAATATGTAGCCCTGGCCAGTGTGGCTCAGTTGGGTGGAGCATTGTCCCATACGCCAAACAAGGTTGTGGGTTCTATCCCCAGTCTGGGTGTGAGTGAGAGGCAACCAACCAGTGTTTCTCTCTCACATCAATGTCTCTCTCTCTCTCCCCCTTCCTCTCTCTAAAGTTAAAAAAAAAAGTATGTTGGGTGCCAACTACTCCAAGCATTGAGCCAGGTATTTGCTCTTTGGTGGTGAATGAAGAAAAAAAGTAGGTAACTCAGTCTGTGGGAGGAAACCAAATTTAATAGAGAACCACACACATAAATGTTCGATTAGAAGCTGTGGTAAGAGCTCCCCAGGGCAAGGACAGTGGGTTCTAAAAGCATACCGACTACTTAGGCAGGGAGAGCCGCGGGCCAGAGAATGACTCTGAGTAACATGTACGCTCAAACACGATAGTGTGCAAAAAGTTCAGTTTATCAAGAGATGATACAAACGGTGAAGATGCCCTACTTCAGAGACACAGAATATAACATTTTCTGTCTCTCTCTGCAAAGGCCATTGGCAAGAATCTTCTGCTTACTACCTTACACATCATGTCTGACTATATGGCCACACTCCACATGTTACTCGATTTCCTTGGACAAGTAACTGGTTAGTCATGTCAGTTCGCGGTGCTCGGAGTCCTAACTCTAGTACATATTTACATTCCCCAGAGCAGGCACCCCTCTCCAACGCTGTCTGTAAACGAGCCCTAAAGCGTGGCACCCTTCCTTCCATTCTGCAAGTGAGCCCCGGCCTAGCTGACTCCGTGTGTGGGGGAGTCGACAGCTGTCGTCCTGATCTGCCTTGGCCGTGGCCGTGGCCACTACCAACTGGTTATCTGGGTGATTCAGAGCAACATGCACTCGGGGTCCTGGTGGCCCGTCTCCCTGCTTCGCTTCTCTTCTCCTTAGAGAATGCGTTGCACTGTGAAAACACGTAGATATTACTGTTAAACAGCTTCTCTGCGGCCAGGTGGTAACTGCACCCACTTTGTTATTTTCCAGGAAGAGAAAGCAACAAGGACTATTTTTCTCCGGGGCTCCTTGTGCTGTACTGTGGGTCCTCCTTGGTCATTCCTGCCCTCGGGATGATCATCTACTTTGCCAGAAAGGCCAACATGAAGGGCTCCTACAGTCTGGTAGACGCGCAGAAATCCAAAGTGTAGCCCACGTCTGAAATGCTCCACCAGAGACACTATTTATCAGCCCAAAGCCTTCACACCCACCATGAGACAAGCGACGAGCTGAGGGTCCTGACTTCCCGGATGCAGCAAGCTCTCAGAAAGAAGTGGCTGCCTGAGCTTCTGGCTGTGGCAAGAAGCCCGAGGAAAACTTTCTGGATGAGAAACAGGCACGACCACAGAGATGGGAGGCCTGGAGGCACTCCCTGATGTGTATATACAGTAGAAGGGTCTGTACATATGTAACATAAAATGATGCCCTAGCAAGATTGCTTGGAATGGCGGCACCCATAGGCTGAGCTCTAAAATAATTCAACAGCGTTGCCTGGACTGGTTGTTCTAACTTAATGCATCTTAGAAACAAATGTAATATTAATGTTGACTGGCAGCTGACCTGTCATCTTTTTCTATTTTATTTCCCGTAACTAAATTTGATTCCTATCAAGTTCACGGACAACAACATCATGTTTGTAAAATACCAGGGTTTTATATTTTTATAGGCAAATGATAAACCAGGAGGGTGTGGGTTGTCTTTCAGGTACTAAACACTTCAGCCTACGAGGTGGCAGTTGTCTGGTTTCTCTGGATGGTACTGACGTGGTACGGAGATGCCTGGTGGTGTTGTTTGTTCATCAAACTTTCCCAAGTGACCTACTAGTGCAACTTCTTTCGATTTTTTTTTTGTAAATGTTTAGCTGTTTTTGTATAGTAAAGCGATCGTTTCTGGACTTGTAGGACTTGTGTGTTTATTATCAACTGCTTCCTTGAATCACACTGCAGCTCTTTTTGAAACCCCAAGGTCCAAGGGTGACGTGTTCAAACCCATAGAAACAATAAGGGACACCCACAGCGTGGCGCTCTGACTGCTTTTATCAGCATCGCCATGGGAACCTGACAAAAATTCAGGGTTCTTGGTGCCATCTTAACCCACTGAATTGCAATATCTGGTTTTGTGTCCTTGGAATCTGGAATTTAAATAATTCAAATATAGCATACACGAAGGCAGAATCCAGATAAACACTCATACGTTAAAGGGCAAGGAAGGAACATCAGGTACAAGCCACTCAGATCAACAGCTAGAGCGTTAATATCCCTCAGAGCCTCTTAGAAGCAACCGCCCCCGTCACAGTGCTCGCTGAGCAGTGACAGATAGCTTGAATTATACATGAACCGTCCCTTGCTTTCTTTGGAGATTTATACCTGTATAGGTAGCCCTAAGTAAGACATCATTTAGTTTGACCAGGCTTTGAATTTTATATAAATATAGTCAAATGGTCGACTTGCCTGTGACTTTACTCTTTTACTCAAAATTGTATTTTTGCATAATTCATCCATGTTACTATATATAGCTATGGGTCGATCATTTTTAGTAGCTGTTAGTATTTCTCTATGTTATAGTATAGTTTTCCAAGATTTTGCCATAATTTATTTATTCATTCTACTGTTGATGGATGTTTGGGCTGTTTCTAGTTTCTTTTATTATGAGCAAAGTTTCTGTAAACATTATTTTACATGGTCCTGGCTAACACTGACTAGAAAAAAAAAAATTACAAAACAGTACATACTATGATTTCATTTATATATAGTACAAAGTATGGGACAATAATGCATGGTATTAAAGTCCGGGTATTAGTTGCTTCCTGGGTGACCGGAAAGGCGCACAATGGGCCTTCTCAGGGTTTCTGGTTTTGTTCTATTGCTTAATCTGGGTGGTGGTAATGTTAATAACACTTACATTAGAAAAGAAGATTCTTGAAATCAAAGTTCTGGAGAGAAGAAGGGTTTATGCACTGGGAAGGGGACGAGAGGAGCGGATGCCCTTGGCATCCCATTCCCCACGTGTCATCTGTCCTGGGGTAACAGGAAAAGTCTTTTCAGAAGCAAGAGCTGGAGTCCCTAGCTCCAGGAAGTCCAGGATGGTGTGGGGTAAAAAATTGTGGATTATTCTACCCTGGAGACCAGAGAAGTCCCCATCTCCTCTTCCTGATCTTAGTTACAAGAACTTTTAAAGGGGGGAAGCAGAAGTGAGTTTGAAGATAGGTGGAGGGCAGGCTAGTCGCACTCCCACCGTAGTTGCCGCATCTTTGGGAAGGGAATTTCTCACCGGACTCCTGGGCTCTGAGGTGGGTATGGTTTGTGTCGGACAGTACTGCCAACATTTCCCGGCTCTCCGCTGTGACAGGGAGGGCACCTGGCAGGACCTTCCCTCTCAGGTAGATGTGCTTCATAGTGTCTACAAATCTGAAAGTCAAGCAAACTCATTCGTTTGCCTAATGTTCTAGTGGGAAGGAAACAAATGGCCGGTTTGGGGAGGTACGTAAGCACTTTCAGGATATTAGCGAACTTTCATTTCCCTTGTAACACGCTTCCTAGTATCATTTTCTTAGAAATGGGCTCAAATCTTGCTACTGGCTTTTAGTAATATCAGTTCTCAGCTGCCAGAACATTTCTTCAATTTATGAGGCTGGCAAGTTTGCCATCTCTGGCTCTGATGCTGTGATGGCCAAACCAAAACAGTCAAACAGATTGAAAGAAATTTGCGACAGTCCACCTGTTATAACCGCTGTCATCTCTTCCCTGCTCTGGGTAAGTGATGCAGGGAAACTACCAAGCACAACTCAAGACTGTCTATAGATAAAGGAAAGCTGTATGTGCCCACAAAATAATGCTCTAACACAGACTAGTCTCTCCCTCTCTCTCCCCCCTCTCTCCCTCCCTCCTTCCTTCTTTCTTTTAAAATCTGCTTTCCATATTGCATCCCCAGAAATGCCTCTTTTGCTCTGCTAAGTGCAGATCTTGGGAAAATGTTAGTGCCGATTGAAGCAATGGTTAAATGACTGGGAAGGTAACAGAATAGTTGGGGTCAGACACCATCAATTTTCTTGCACCTAAAATGCAGTTTCTACCAGGAAACTTTAAGGTTCCGTCCAACTCTCAAGCACGGCAGTTCGTAGTAATTTACCTGGGCCTTAGGTAATTTCCCTTCACTTATTTCAGGGAGCCTCTCTTTGTGTTTAGCCAAACAAGGACTAGGCATTTCCTTTTTTATCCCTGGCTTATCGACTTTCACAGAGTTTGAGGCAAATCAAACATCTGAATTAATCTCAGCACCAGGAAGCAGCTTCTACAAGGGTTTCACGGCAGCGGCCCTTTCTAGAGAAGAGGGAAGGGACACTGGCAATGTCTTGAAAGGCCTAATTTTAGCCATAGCGATAGGGACATTTCACTTCTTAAAAAGGATGGGTTCGGCGGCTTTTCTGATTCTGCTCCCGTTGAAGGACATGGTTTCTCTCAAAAGAGACTAATCTGTGAGGCTTGCTCAGGAGCACGCAGGTGGAACCGAACATCTGGGCTTTTTAGCGCAGGATGAGGCGATTTAGAAACAGAGCTCCACTGCTTTCAGTTCTTTCTCGGCAGGGGCTCTGGGAGGCATTGTGAAGAAAAAAAGAAAGAAAAGAAAAAGAAGAAAAAAAAAGAGTTGACCCAGGGATGGAAAAAGCACTGTTTCCGCCTTGAACAGAACAGCGCCAGGTAAGACGAGCAGCCAACCGGGACCTGACACTCGGGATTCTCACCGACCTATGAATACTCAGGGCTCCGAGACCCAGGCGCGAGGGAAGCAGCGGCTCTGGCTCTCTGAGCATTTCAATGTTGGCTCTGAAGAGAATAAAAGGAGAGGAAAGTACTTGAACAACCTTCCAGCACTAGGCCGGCCCTGGAATGTCCAAACAAGGCCTTGGCAGAGAGTCAATGACACGGAGAGTCTGCGCCCCATCACGCCACACTCTCGGGAGGCTGGCGGCAGGGGGGACCCAGCCATAGCTGTTTGCTGACAGTGCCCCACCAGAGTGAAACGGGGTTCCCCCTCCAGGTACGGCCCCGGTTTCACCAGCTGGCCGGCCCTGCACCGGGGCCTCACGCAAGTGTTGACTTTATGTCTCAAGAATCAATGCGGGGAAAGAGGGGGACATCTGTAATACTTTCAACAATAAAGATAAATTTTTTAAAAAAAGAGTCACTTGTTCACTCCCTTGCAACCTTACTTCTGTGGGACTCTGACAATACGTAAGCAGGTTAAGAAGGATTTAAGAAATCCCGGGAAGGGAGATGAACTGCCACATCGTCATTTTTAAATTATTGCATTTGAGCAACTGGATTGATTCATTTGCTCAGAATTTTCCATCCAGTAGCTCTGGGATTTTGTCTGTCTCTGACATGATTAAATGATCCTACTATGTGCTGCTTCCAAGGTCACCCTTGCTAACGAAATCTGCATCTGGCCCGTCTTTCCTCCATGCACAGGGAACATGGGCTTCCCCAGGATCTGCCCCAATAACTGGAGTCCTACTTTACCAGACGCCCCCAGATAGAATGAAGAGACTTTAGGGGGCTTTAAAAAGTACTTTTACACTTTACCAGGAAGAGAAAGGAGAAACGTGACTAGTAGTAACAGAAATTCGAGAGGACCTCAGAATAATACGGCACAAACCACATTGCACGAACCACATGTCACTCTTTCATCAACAAGAGAGGCTGAGGGCAACACTGGCAGAAAGGGTGTGTCCCAGGGACAAGATGAGATCCCCCAGAGAAGAGAACCATATTCTAAACACAAAAAATAAACAATAAACTAAAAAACACTAATTCTTGACTCATCCTGGCAAATGGAGAGAGAGCCCAGCAGCACCGAATGGGGAGCTTGATGCAGACCTTGTTCAGACTCTAAAGCTTTTAAAGTAAAAACGGAGCAGTGACAATGAGAATTTGAAAGGGGGCAGAAAGCTATGCCGAGCTAAACTGATTTTCGATTTCATGAAGCCCCCAAATAAGAGGAGTGTGATGAGACATGCTGAAATCAGAACTTTGGCAGGGGCTTGATGCCATTTCTTTAAGCTTTTAGGGCAGACGTGGACCAGTCAGAATAACCGATTAGACGACAGGATGTGCACCGGGGGAACAGGTGAGTGACCCGGAGAACACGTGGCTCTCATCGCTGTGTCCATCAGTTATGTCAGCTATAGGGATTGAAGGTTTTCCCTCTAAAAATGTTTCCCACATTAAGTTGATGGGAGGGGAGTGGGAGTTACAATGAGCAGGAGAGAACTATGCCTGGCCCGCAAACACTCATGACCTATCTGGATGTCCGCAGGGCAGCAGGCTGTGTATCTGTACATTGCTGCAGAGAACCGAGTGGAAGCCGTGCCCCTGGGGTCAGCAGCACGGCCCTCACTGATCCCACCTCCCTGACTGGGATCCGAGATGAGCCCGAAGCCAACGCAGGAAGTAGCTAATATATTGGTTCCGGAAAAAATCATTTAAGAAGATTCCAATCTGCGTCATGGAGAAGGCTAGGTAAAAGTGAATATAAATAATATAAAACACTATTCTGGTCCAAAACGGCCAGGATATAATTGGGACATTGTTTTAAAATTCTGTCCACCGTCCATTGTGAAAGGGACAGTAATTAAATAAAGCTAATTTAGAGGAAATCAATCAGGCCGAGAGAGTGACTAAAGGAACTGAGATGTTGAGATTAGAGAGAGAAGACAGGGCTATGAAACCGGCCATCAAGTATTTGAAAGACGATATGAAAGAACAGCAGAACAATAGAAAGAGCACAGGGCTTTTAACTCGGACAGTTGTTATGGAACTTGGGGTTCCTTTTAAGCCTGAGATTCTGGGAAACATGTATGATGGTTTTATAATAAATCAGGTTCCAAATACCCAGGGACCA